ATGGACAACTATGATAGGAACTGGATTTTTTCCCCCCGGACAACAATATATAGAGTCAATTCCTCTACATGGATATTAACAGAAAATTCCAAAAATTTCCTAGCGGGAGTTTTTTTAATGCTCATCCCCTGCCCTCTTCAACTGTGGAGCTGGTTTTCCACTGGGGTGATTTTAAAAGGGAAAACAACTCTTTAAATTTATCTTTACAGCTAGAAACTTGTCTTTTTTTTTTTTTCAAAGGCCCATTCTTTAAATCGTTTTTTGGGACCCCTCCAGGGACACCAGATATAGTACTGACAAACAGAGACTTTTGACATTTTTTCCCCTGCGTAAAACTCCTGGGGGAAACGTAGGATCTGACCTTTACCCCTTTTAAATAAAACCTAAAAAACTTCCCCCATTTAGAATCCCCGTACCAAAAAACCCAAACTTAACACCCCTAAATTTGCCCCCTTCAGGGCTTTTCTGGGTGACGATGAAATTGTGTCATTGGAAAATCTCCCTTTCCACGGGGCAATTGATGATGCAAACAGGTCCCTGCATAATCGAAAAATTTGAAGCAACTAATGAAATTTTAAAAATTTAAAGCTTAAACAAAAAATTTCCCAACAATAAAAAAAGGCTTAAACCTTTAAAAAAAAAGAAAAATTTAAAGGGAAAAGAACAATTTAAAGGGGTTAAAAATTTTTAAAAAAGCAAAGAAATGTCGAAGGCATTTTCCCAAACGCGAAAAAACCACCACAGCTACACTGCCCCGATTAAGGCAAAATTTAAATTAACCCTGATTAGTCTTTCACAAACGGGCCCTTATGGAAATTGCTATTCTTCAAGCTAATCAGTACAAACGTAAACCAGCAAAATTTTTGGAGTAAGATCCAAACCAACTTTTGGGGGCAAAGCAAAAGGGTTTTCCTAACAACTATTTCAACCTTCACTGATGGGGGGATGATGAAAAAATTTTTAAAATTTAAATTTGACATCCAAGGAACCAGGCAAATTTTGTTTGGGTGTTTGTAGGGGAAAAATTTCCCTCTCCCACAAAAACAGTCGTAAATTTTAAAACAATAATCATTACCCGGGTTTGGTAAAAAGGGAGAGAAAAGAACCTTAATGATCTACAACCCCTCCCTTTTCCATCGAAAACTTCAACTCTTGAAGATACCCCACCCCTTACTAGACCAATTTTTTTACAAGTTTAGTCAGGTTTTTGGGAAAGAATGCGAAATAGACCCCCTTGCCTCCCCGGGAAAAACAATGAAACAAATAAAGTTCCTCCCCAGAAATTGAAACAATCTTGGTAAAAAACTTTAATGCCATCTTGGCCTCGGGACTTTTTCCAGGGGTTTTTAAAACTGCTAGGATGATCTTTCTAAATAAGGGCCCAAAAAGACATTCACCAACCTGGGGAAATATAGACCTATAAACTTTTCTTAAGTCACTGGAAAAGTTCTTGAGAAAAAGGGCATTTTCCAAAAGTTTAACTACTAATGGAGTTTAAAAACACTTTTTCTAATAAAAAAATTTGGATTTAGAACACATAGAGGACCAATCATTTCAATAAATTTTTTATTTTTGATACTTTTAGCAAAGTCTAAAGCATCAGGGGAACTGCCTTTAAATTTCCACCCAAGATGTTCATAAAAGGGGGGGGGGGATTCTTATGGCATGAAGGCCTTAAATACAAACTCATTGACCCACCAGACCATAACGGATTTTCTCAGAGTAAAAAAATAATTTTTTAACTCAAAGAAAAATCATTCCCACCTTTCAGGGAGGGCGGGAGAGCCTTTTAAAACCGACAGCTGGGTTTCCCCCAAGGGTTTTTTTGGGCTCAGTTCCACTTCTGTTCAACATTTTTTGAATGACCTTCCTCAAAAACCCAAATTTAATGATACAATTGTGACACAGTTTGCAGATGAGTTATTCATGTCCTCAAACAACTCCGGGAAAAGGAAAATACAAGTATGAGAGAGTCCAAAAAATAAAAATGAATATTTAAAATTTGTTTTGAACATCTAATTGGGGGGGAAAAAAAAAAGGAGAATTTTCGACTAATCCTGACAAGGTCCCTTTTTAGCACAAGGGGTGTTTTTGCATCAACAATTGAAGAAAAAGAAAGGGGATCTCCCTCAAAGGGACAAAAAGAGCCATTAAAAAAAAACCCCAAAAAGATCTTGGGATAAGAAATAGACAGGCCCGCCCACCAACATCTCATGTAACTAAAAAAATCAACATAGCCAAAGCCGGTCCTTTGCATTTTTCCCTTTTGATTCAATCAAAACCCCTCCCAAAATGCAAAAAACATCTGTAAAAAATGGGTAAAAGAACCCAAAATCGAATACCCTTGGTCCCAAAGGGCATTAACAAAAAAGACCAACAGCAAAGGTACAAAGGGTCCAGAATAGAGCCCTTTTTGCTTCATTAACCCAACCAGGGGAGAGACAGATTAAAAAGGCAGATTTACACATAAACCAAAAAGATATTTTTTGCCATAAAAGTACGCCTCGGGCACTCTAAAAAAGAAAAAAACTCTATTTTTAATGCAAGAACTATACATGCCCAGATAGAGAAAAATCCTATACCCAATGGAAATACCACGTTATAATAATCAATACCCCCCTCACAGGAACTCAAAGAAAAAAATCCCACAGAGGGGCTGCGTTTTATACATAAAGATGATTACCATCGAAACCCCTGATTTTTGAGCAACCCCCCCTGATGAAGAAAAATTGGGGGAACACCAAAACCCCCTTTTATGTATACTAAGAAAATCATCGGGCCCCCAATTAGGGGGACAAACTTATAAAACAACCTAATGTTTAAAAATTTTGCAAATTTTCCAAGGCTGGGCACCACCTTTAAAAAGGCCCCTTGGGCCCCGTAATTTTTTTAAAACTGACCCAAAATTATTGCCTTCATTGTCGCATAAATAACCGTTTTGCAAAACGAAAAAAAAAAAAAAAAAAAAAAAAAAAAAACAATTGCAACTTTAAAAATTACTACCCCTTTAGAGTCAAGGGACTTAAATTAAACTGTTATATTTGGGTGTGACTCTGAAAAAGGGTTTGTGTTTAAACCCCTTAAAAAATATCTTATCATTTCCCCATAACTTTTTAAATTTCACCAAAGTGGGTTGGGCCAAATTACCTTTTTTAAACCTACCGTTCCTCCCCCCCCCCACCCTTTTTTTCCCAAAATTTCCATCCTTACCCATCCCCTTTTTCCTTTTCCCATCTTTCCAAAGCTCTTACAAAAGAAGAAGAAGGGAAAGTACCTAAAAGAAACCTAAATTAGTGAAAAAACCCCAACAAAAAAAACTGTACTTTTCCAAACCAAGGGTTCTAACCCCCTTACCCCGTTCACCCTGTTTGGGTGTCAAAGGGGCGTAGCACCATCAAAGGGAAAAAGCTGGGTTCTCAAACACCACCTCCTGAAGAAAAAGAAAAATGTTTCCAAAAAAGTGCCAACGGGAAAGGGGTGGGTATTTCGACGATTCGAGGGGATTTAAGCATTTTTCCCGACTTTTCAATTTTTTCTCTCTCCTCCCCAATATATACTGGAAAAAAACTTTTTAAAAGTCACATATCTGAAGATTCCTCCTTTTCCCCCCCACCTTCCAAATGTATATTTTGAAAAAATTAACCCAAACAAAATAAAACCCTTGCTAAAATATATGGAATTTAAAAAAAAAACCAATTTACCCCCTGATTATTATTTTAAACATGGGGAAGCGCTAAAAACCCCTAGGATTATACAGCGCCTGTGGGGGGGTGGGAAGGGGAGGGAACTTTAAATTCCCGGGAAAATGGAGGGCCCGATCCAATTCCATAAATCAAGAGCCTCAAGAAATTTCCCCTTTGAGGGGCCAATTTAAACCCCAAAGAAGTAATTTAAACAAAATAATTATTATTCCGTGTTTTCTTTGAGAAGTGGGGCACTTCAAAAGGTGAATGGGAATGATCATAAGCAAGGGACAGACAAGATAGGAAAGGGAAAAAAACTGACTTATGTACAGGGATTATAATTTTGCTAAAAATAAATGGGAGTAATTTGGGGAATTTTTTAATTTTTTTTAAAAAATAAAAAACTAGAAAAATTTGGGTCTTCAGCCCGTTAAACCTATTCCGTTTCCCAACATTATCATATTTACACTAAACATAGTTTAAATTTAAACCCGGGCAGTGCATTTTTTTACATTTTGCAATCCGTATGCCCTAATTCATTCAGTATCTCGGCCGGTAGGTGTCCTAAAATTTTGACGAAACAGAAAATAACCCCCCAATTATACCGGGAAGAGATGCTGGGTTCTTAATCAGACAAGCACCCGTGGGTAGTGTAGCACCCCTCTCAGAAAAGACCCACTACACTACCCCTTGGCACAAACTACTCAAACATAACCACCTTGTTAAGATGACACAGCATAGGAAGAAAGGAATTCGAGCGAAATTAAATAATGCTCACTAACTATTAGTTCCATAAATGTGTAGTTTATTTACTGTTTGGTACATTAATTATTAGTTGTATATCTTTATGAAATGATAAAAGATTGCAAGTAATCCATCAAAAGAGGAATCTCATAGGTAGCATTAAGGTAAGTATTTTCTTATGCTGATATTTGGCATTCACACCTTAGGCCATGGTTTTCATGCTAATCACCCATTGTTCTTATTAGAAATTTAAATCAATGGGTTTATAAAGAAGAATCCTGTAACACACGACTGCAAACAAATCGCCCGTTCTGTGACCATAAAATATTGATAAGATCAAAAATCATATTTTATCTAATACATTTCTCTAATATTTTAAGCAACTTAAAAGTTAGAACTAGTGCTAAAACCATGCGTAGTTTTAAGAAGACTTATTTATTAATCAATGTAAACAGTTACAGAAGGCAACCAGATTTTATCCAAGGGAAAGAATGGCAGCTACAATTCATTGGACCCACAGCCCTTCACCGGTATCATAGTACTGTACCCCTTAGAAGGGGCTAAATTTTATACGCGTTTAGAACAAGATAACCATAAATAATGTGGCTTACGTGAGGTCTCTTCCAAACATAGGATCTGCGAGTAACACCATTGAAGGCAATGGAATAATCATTGGGTGGAAATTCTGGGTCCTCGTATAGCTTCTTAGCTTTGAGACACTCGTCTCTCAGAGTCCTGAAGCCCTTCTTAGGTATCTTCAGTCCCCCTTTAACGATCCGGTTTTGAGTGTACTGTGGGGAAAAACACTTCTTTACTGACTCAGTAATCATTAATATCTATAAGTAAATCATCATACATAGGAAAGGACAATTTACCCTCGAACTGCTAAATTAATTTGCCATTTAACATGGTATACAGGTTGAAGTTTACTCCAAAACTAACACAGCAGCGTATATCCTAACCTTGTTAAATTAAAATTAATATAACTTAATACTACCTAACTTTTAGGTCAACCTAAATTTTGCAATATTAACACCAATAAAATATATTAATTTTATAATTCTCAGACTGCTTTTTGCATCAATAAAATTACTTCGTTTGATATATCGACCACTGTTTTATAAGCTAAGTCCGCAAGCTCTGTTCAGAAGCACAATACAAGTTCCTGGTTTTGATAACTGTTTAAAGTTTGTTTATCAGTCACCCATTTGACTGTCTTAGCAGCAGTTTTGTAGGTATTTTCTCTAGTGTGGTGGAGCTTAAGTATTGTGCTTATGGCTTTCAACAATGAGGATAAATTCTGTCACTGTAAATTTAATTGTGGGCTATAGGCCTTCATCCAATATAGGTTTAGCGTTTTTTATAATAAAAAAGTCAACATGCTAATTTTAAATATTGCTCGCCCTTGGGTGTTATAACCCGTTTGACAAATAGGGATTCGAATTATTAATATTAAACAAGATATAAACTCGTATGATGGCAATCTAGAAAATAATTACATATTTGAATTTGCGGGGGATGAGGTCGAACTCATGGTCCCTTCACTTTAAAGGGACCAAGAGTTTGAGGATAGGGATACAATGCATACGTGAATGTTTTTTACACTGTATATCCTGGCTTCGTGCTCGGTGTTATTTTAAGACTGATAATGTGATGGCAGATGTTGTCTCTGTGGTGCATTAAACTGCACTCCACGCTGAGTATTTTTGTCTTGCTTGTGTTCTCATTGGCATAGCTGCATTGTGAAGTTTGTCGGACTCTCTCTTAGCTTTTCTTACCGCTTGCCTTGTTTCTCATTTAGGAGATAATCAATACTCGGGTCCCAGCCCCAGAAAAAAAAATCACTTATACGAAGCCCTCATCCGACCTCTTCAAACACACACTCCACTAGCATTCTCCTTTCCAGCAAACACCACCACAAAAGGCCTTGCGTTGGATAATTAGCACTAGTTGGCAGGACCTATCACCTACGAGTTACTTTATGGCAAGGCAAATACCCCAGCTCTAAAGATTTATTGGAAAATGTTAGCGACAGGCGGACAAACTGGATCACCACATGTGGACCATATTTCTTCATGAAGTAATCCGAAAGTCCAGAAATAACCAATTCTAATGTCTTTACTCAAGTTCATCTATCCCTATTTACCAGTAACTTACTGACTCGTTCGCATTAATTTGTGTTAATGGGCATGCAACGTTTCTGGAATGAGATACTGTGCTAGATAACTGACACTCCGATACAGGTTTTATGTCACTGGCCAATTCCTCTACGTAAGGGGGGGGGGGGGTAATTGCCTGGGGACAGGGGGGTTTAGTTTATGGGGTATTATGGATAATACCATGCTATGTCACTTTGTATTAGGGTAGAATCGGGTATTGGTTTTGTAAACAGGAGATACCTTATCGTAAAAATTTTAAAGGTGTTTGAGTACGGTACTCTCCTTAAGTAAATTATTGTTTATCTTTGTACCTTATTGATGTACGATGTTAATAATTGTATGTACTCTGTATATGTACTGTCCTTCTAAACAAAATATAAAAAAATTCCTCTATGTTAGAACAAATATACTTGGCTGTATCTACTGCAAAACCTGAAGTCCCAAAAATCACACACACGGGTGACACACCCATTCAACCATCTTCACGCTCCTCCACCTATCCCTATCTACACAGCAACCCAAAAACTCGCCTTAGGTCTATGTTAACATGTCTGAACCCTGAGAAACTGTATTCATGTATATCTAGTTGTTAGCTGGCACATTTTTCATTTGCCCCAGAGTATCCCTGAGGTGACGGTCCTAAAAGTTGACTGCCGTAGGTGGCCTCCTGAGGGAGAGGACTTGAAAAAAAAGGGACCGCAATGAAAAAAAGCCACATTGGTGGGCTGTTTATAAAATTAAAAAAAAAAAAGTAATATTAAAATTACTTATTTCCAGAAAGTAAAGTACACAATTATTACAAGAATAAGTGACATGTTTTACAGACTTAGTGGAAATCTCATGGGTATGTAGATCATTTCGGGCAATTTTATACCAGATTAATGTTACTTCATAGTGAACAACTGAGTTTAAAGTCATTGAATGTTATATGTAACAGTTTATAACATTATTTATAACAATACAGAATTAAATAAAATATGGAGTATAACACTGAGAGTTTGCTTTAATTGATATTTTAAGTAAGTCAGTTTATTTATGCACAATTTTACACAATTTTTGGATGATTACAATTACCTTACATAGTAATGTATGTGTAAATTATTTAGCATAACCCAAATGTGTCTGGTGGTGAGCAAATGACATGCAGCATTTAATGACTCATTAATGAGATGTTAAGATCCCTAACAAAGTCTTCTTCACACCTGGAAGTTAGTCGATTGTTGAGGATCACATCCAGAGGGAGGACCCGAAAAAAATGGAACTGTTGCACTTTCTAAGGTTAACCCTTCAGGCCCTTCAGACGGGCACCTCGAGGCTGGTGAAGGGCTTTTGATCCAAGGAACTGGAGCTACCCTCACCTTCCTTGGATCAAACCTAATTACCTACAATTCCACAAGAGTTGTCTGCCCCTACGGGTTTAGCGCTTCCATATAATAATTGCCTTGAGGGCCCATAGATGTCAAAGTTTCTGGTAAGATTTCATTCAGACGGGAAAGGTGACCGTTTAATATAGTTCTCAACTTAGTCATATTTTGTGAATTGCTTCCTTAACAGCACTTAACACATTTACTCACATAAAACTAGATCCAATAGTAATTTTCAAACATAAATGGGTGGTGTTTGACAGCTCTGTTTTGACATGTGCAAAAAAAAAAAAAACATGAAACTGCATTTTGAAATAAGCATGGTGGTATTCAGCATGTGAGTCAGGAACAGCAGTGTATACTCGCCGGTGCTGATTTCTTATATTCGATTTTCCAAGATTCGAGAAAAATTGGAAGGGGAATGATAGCGCTGCATAATACCAGGTGTTCGCCGTGGCTAGACTTACCCAGAAATACTCTCTCACCCCCCCCCCCTCTACCCTAGCAACCCACACATGTGAACGAACACTAGTGAACATATTCTCAAAAACAGAAAATCCTGCTTACTCCATTTCGGCGAGTTTCTCGCCTCACTGAATATAATGTATATGAATCTGCACTGCGTTTTACTAACCTGCGCTGGTCAATGAACAATGTTTCTAGGATATATATCGAGATATGGAACGAAAGAAAACGATCTAAGTTAAGCTACTTAGCAGATAGTAACTCGGATTAGCTTTGAGCGAAACACAGAGGAACTGAAACAGGAAATTACCGGAAGTAACTTGCTGATTTTCCCACGATGAGAAATAATCATATGGTTCACTGTCAGGTGCGTTGCTTGTCTGCTGTCTAGTGCCGACGCTGCTGTCTAGTGGCGACACACGTACTGTGCCCCACCCCCGCCTAGTTACTGGGTACATCAATATCTAGAAGCAGGACTGTGTGTGCTCTTGGTGTACAGTTAAATTGTAATTGTTTTGAAAAGTTGTGTGCGGCAGGATGATGTGTAAATGTGGGATGGGGATACGTAAGTAAGTAAGTAAGTAAATTTATTCAGGTATACACAATACAGTTACATAGAATTATCATACATAGCAGCATATGTGTAGAGAACCTAGGATAACCCAAAAAAGTCAGACAGAGTGACTTATTTCCATTGGGGTCCTTTAATATATTCGAATATATTCGGAATCTAATAAGAAACATTAATATTGTATTATTTATTTACGCGAGTTTACCCGAGGAGGAAGGTGGTTCAAAATAAGTTGTATATGCAAGATTTTGGCTTTGAAATTTATTGTATTCTGGTTGCCCTTTATTTAAATTCGAGCCGTTTTAAGATCTAACTCACTATAAGGCTTTTAACAGTGAATACAAATAAATGTGGTATAAATATCAAATTTTGCTTCCAGTTTGGAGACATGCGACGCATATTCTCCCCCAACACACCCTAGACAAGGCAGTAAAGTAGTGGGATGTTTCAGGTTTTTAGCAAAATATTCCAAATTCTGTGTCTGTCTCTCTCTTAAAAAAAAAAAAAAAAAAAAAAACTGCTACAAGATAATCTTCGGAACAGGTAAGATGAGCAAAGGTAGACTAACGCGGGTGGCAATAAGACGAGGGGCCAGATGTAACTAAATACCCAGATGAGTAATATAGACATAAGAAAGTGGAGAGCACTAGAGGACGACACGCGCGAGGCTTCATTGAAGGGATCACGGAAAAAAATTCCCCATTTCCCAAGGAAAACAGGTCAGGGTAGTTTGTTGGTGTAGAGGCTGTATGTCTCTACACCACCGGGATTAAACACTCAGTATATATAATGATCTACATCCCTCCGTGTATACACAATGCTGCATCAGTACATACACATGGAGGGAAACACCTCAGAAAATACACAATGCAGTTGTAAGGTTATACAAATTCTTAGATAGGTTAGGCAAAGTAAGCTATTTAATATTACGTAAGTTTGGCAAGGTCAGGTTAAGTTTGGTACAAAATGAAAAACTGGCATTTAAAAAAAACTACATAACTTTAGCCAACTGTTTCTCTTCAAGGAATGGGGAGGAAGTTAATCTTGTGAACCACAGAAAGTAGGCCCCCACGCATCGACACCATGCCCAGCCCTTCTAGGGTAGGGTAGGTGCCTGACCCGAGCTTGCAGCTCACAAGCAAGCCATTCCCATTAGCCCCCTCGGGCGGGGATGGCAGACCAGAGAGGCCTGGCTTCCTACGAGCCCCGTGAGGGCGGGGAATGTGGCTAGGCCTGGGGACAGTTGGTCCCAAAGATGAGGGGGTACTAGTACCTCCTCCCATGGGAGACTTAAGTCTCAGATACTACCTATACAGGGAGCCAAGGCCGGGCCACCACTTGGAAAAGGCCCGGGCCGGGAGAATACCGGCAAATCAACAAGAACAGAAAGTAGCTTAATTAAAAAATATATCAAATAAGATGAAGCCAGCTCAAGTCAACCAATAGAGAGATAATAGGTGGGCCTAAGAGCAGAAACTAAAACTTTCAAGCTCAACTTGATTATTACACCTACGCAAACAGAATATTATAATCAAGCTGATTTGATTACTTTTTTACGCATACAAATGGAAGAGGGACTGGGCTTAAAAGTTCTGTCATCGAGAAAGCTACAGTAGTAATTATTTATATACACAATTAACGAAGTATTTTTTTTTATTTTATTTTATGATTTATCGTTCATGTAACAAAGCATCTTTCCTAGAATTTAGTGTACTTTTTTTATAGTGGCTGGAACCAAACCTAGTCTGCTGTATTAACTAAACTCACAATGGAATGGTGGAAGTGGTATAACCTGTCTTTTCCCACTGTATATAACGCATAACCACTTAAAAAAATTATAAGCATACCTCGCTAAAATATAAGGTAATATTTTTGTGCCCTAATTCATGACTGCATAAATAACTCATTACGATTGTAACCAGACATAAACATGAAAACAGTTCATTACCACTGTAATTTAGCCTTCAAAACTTTACGGCCCAGTCCCTGGACCCATCATGTGCCTCTAATATTTTGACTACCGCCCAGAGTGCATGAAGAAGCTACGAAACTCAAACTGCCTTTCATCTGTACGTCACCATTAAGAATACTTAATATCTAAAACAGGGACGAAAATAAATTCACAATGCATATGCATTATAATGAAAGAGACGCCTATTTCTCAATGTGCCAGGTAACAAAAGTTTACTGTTTATATGGCAGCTTGTTGCTGAGAAGCACTAACCTCTAATTCTGCTGAAATAATTGAAGTTGGGATAATATAGCATTCGAAGCCTACCGCTGCTGCTACACTGTTCTATCTACTATGCTTCGTGGAACGTCATGGGTAGAAGTATTGATTTTATGACTGAACATTAAAAGTACAGCTCGAGAAGGGAGCTTACCTCACTGGAGACCCGGCTGTAGTAGGTGGATTTCTGAAGGGAGACAGACTCAATGTCGTCTACCAAGTGAGTGTGACCATCTGCACCCGCAGCACCTTTGTAGCAGCGACAGTGTTTCTCTGCATCGTCCTGAGGCTTGAATACACTAGGTTCCTCTACCACCTCAGTCAGCGGCATCCTGCTCTCTATGATCCTCAGTTTACTGGAGCCTTGGTGAATATTACAAGTGAAGAAATTAGCGCAAGAGTTCAAAAGGTTATTGGTGCCATTATATTTAGTCCCAGCCAACTACTGCATTGTATCCTGAAAAGAATATACAGGTATGCTAGTAACCGACCATATGACATAATTTATCTATTTCACGAAGACTGATGAAAATAAATTATTTCCGTGTCACCAGAGCCACCAAAGTAATGTAGAGCAACAGCAGGATTTTAGAAATGGTAAGTCGTATAACAAACCATCAGAAACTAGTAGGCGTTTTTTTTTTTAATTTAGGTGTGAAACTTTTGTAAGCTAAGACAGATTAGGTCTTGTTTCTCCTTGAAGATACATTAGAGAATAAAGTCACAGTACCGTTGCTGGAAATATTCACCAAAGACCCGCACCTAGGAGAGGAACCTTATGACGACATCTCGGTCCTTCTTGGATCATTGTCAAATCACAACTGAGGCGAGAAAAATAGAGAAGATTACCCCGATTTTGTCTATTGTAAATAACTTAAATAACTCGTAACCACATACAGTCCACCACACATTAAAGTTTTGTGACTCGCTTCATAACTTTGTAAGCTCATTACTGTTGCTCTAAATTCAATAAATATTATAAATAGTTCATTACCAATATATTGCTGAAGAAGCACAGTCCTTGGACCCATTATGTGCCTCTATAACTCTGACTACGGCCTGAAGCTCCACAAGGGAGGTTCCTGACGCTGGTGAGGGGCTCTCGATCTAGGGAGTTGTATCTGTGCTCCAGTCCCTTGAATTAAGCCTGAATACCTTCATCCCCCCCAGGCGCTGTATAATCCTACGGGTTTACTGCTCCCCAATGATTATAATAACTCACGAAATCGTAATGACACGATTGCAAACAAACCATTACACGGTCGGGGATTGAACCCGCGATCAGAGTAGGTCGGTCTGAAGTTTTATAAATTTTATCGCGGGTTCTATCCCCGCCTGTGGTATGGTTTGATTATAATAATACGGCCTAAAGGCGGTAGAACTCCGCATAGCATATTCGAGGATGGGTTGGTTTACCTGACGACCATCACACATAATGGTTTTCTATTATACTCACACGGATGGTTGTCTTTATGTACCTTATTATACATTAAGGAGAGGTTTTAAAAATACCTTCCAGGATTCAGCTTCTCATCACAATTTTTCTTGGTGTTTTTAGTGTTCACTTCCTTTCTTTACTTTAATAAAGACAACCTGAAGTAAAGACAGCAGTGCCTAAATGTCTGTAATAAGGTCGACAGACTTTTTGGATGTATATCAAGAAGTACATATAAGCAACAGAAGTTCCAAGATTATTCTAGAGACATATACATCATTTAGATTTAGATTATACAGTACAGTTCTGATTTCCACGTTACAGAGAAGACATGAGCAAATACATTAGACATTTTAATGGAAAATTTCAGTCCTGGGAACATGTTCACTACAGTGGTAGTGTACATGTAAAGGTGTAGGTAGGTTCGCCAGGACGGATCCTGGCCCAGGTCTTCATGCGGTGACCTGGCAAAAGTGATAGTGTACAATCCTACGGGTTTAGCGCTCCCCCTTGATTATAATAATAATTATAAAAATAATAGTGTACAAAAAAATCAGCATATATAGATATGCCGAGGCACGTGCAGGAATATAAGGGAAAAATCACAACTTTTATGTAAGAAAAAGAGTAGGAAGAAAAAAAATCAGTGACAAACTTTATCTAAAAGTTTGCTATTTTAATACAATATCTACACTGATTATTTTTTCCTGTGATTTTTTTTTCCTGTAGTTTTCCCCCAGTCATCGCTAATTTTACATCCTGCTGAGTAAACAAAGGATTGCAGTGTGTCTTAGTTTACATTGTTGAGACGCACACTTCTTGGTGTATAAATCCTGTAACACTGCCAGGTCTGAGGAATGGGACAAGAGGAAGGTGCCAACGGTCGTCAGACTAGTGAGTACTGCTGCTGCCCCTGCTGAAGTCTCCCACCTCGGGCCGAGAGACTTCGTTTCCTCATGTGTGATGCAGTATGACGGGAAAATCATATTGTGCGACAGAGTATTAGAGGAAAATCATCATTTGTGGTGGAATACAAGAGGAAAAGCCATCTATTGTAATGGAATACCAGCAGAAAACTGTCATGTGATGAATTAAGATTGGAAAACCATACTGCATCAAGGAAAAACACACTGCATCAAGAAATATGACAAGGAAACCATCATGCAGTTTAAATTGTGAAAGGAAAACCATCATACATGATGATATATTAGGTAAACAGTTCTTGCTCTAACTCTGCAATGTCGTATAGACTATGTTAGCCACACAAGGGAAAGGTAGTCTTGGATTCAGATAAATACTATATAATAATGGAAAGAATATACCACAGAAATGAAGAAACACAACTGGACAGGGAAACTAGCTATTTTCAGTGAATCACTCGACCATGAAATTAACACGAAGAGGCTTGCTAGAGGAAATAAAAATGACTGAAGAAAACTGTAAGAAAAAATGACAGAACATTTGGAGCCGACGACTCCAAGACAACACTGCAAAGTACACCATTCACGGAACTCAACCTCCGATCCTGCAATCCATACTCGACATCCTCAACGACAAAATCCACATCCACCACTCCAAAATGAAGGTACTGCACCTCACAAGAGCAAAATTCAACTCAGTCAGGAACGGCTAAGACAGCAGCACAGTCTAATCATCACTCACCAGCAACCCAAGTCCCCCAGCACTTTGCTATTTAGCTAAAGCTTGGGTGTGACTCCAAAACGACCCTGTTTTTCTAGACACCACTGCCATTCCAGCCATCTCCTGCCAGGCATCTGAGACCCAGCCCTACTCTACTGACTCTGCTGCCAACAGCACATCTCGCTCCAGCACAACCCCCTGCAGTACCTCTGCACATCTCGCTCCAGAGTGGTCGGGCCACTCACCTCTCATACCCCACCTCCTGCTCCACCCTCCCAACCTCTTCCAATTTTCCATCCCTGCCCTCCCTCTTCCTTCCCATTCTCACCTATCCTCAGGTCAGAACCTCGAACCTCGAGATAAAGTTAAAAATAATCATGAAAGCCCTTCATATGGAGATAAAAAAAAAATAATGTCTCCTGAATTGACTGCAAAATAGCCTATGGAATGGGGCGGGAGAAGACTACAAGAAAGAACAAATCGAGAATATAAGAATAGAACAGTTTTGCTGGCATAAAGTATGATGTAAACCTAGTACATCCAGTATGCAATGTGGTGCTACTATGGCTTGTTATCTACAAACAAAAGATATCTACACCACACTTTGGCTTGATATCTACAAGGAAAAAATACGATCTACGTGTCATGAAGCTAGGTTGGTATGAGATCTACAACAAGAAAAGTAATAGCCTAACCTAACCGGCGCTACTTTGGTATCCGATCTACATAGGTTAGGTCAGGCTATTAGTTTTCTTGCTGTAGATCGCATACCAAAGTAGCTTCATGACACGTAGATCGCAATGTAAGTGTAGATATCATCCCAAAGTAGATTCATGACACGTAGATAACAAGCCAAAGTAGCACCTGCAATGCTTGATGCCATGGGAATAATACATTCATCTTTTTTCAACACAGAAAATTGACAGGAACTGAGCCGTTATTGGAGTGTGGATACCAGAACCATAGCAAGAGGCACTCAGGAAGAGAGGAACCACTTCATTAACAAGGAAATATTGTGTTATTTAATGGAATGTGGTTAGTGGTTACTAGAGGATATGTCCAGATGACAAATATACAAATACGTCTTCAGTTTTGTCTACCCACCCAAGGCAACTAGAGGTACCTGTGATTT